TGACACAAACAAAGAGCAAGAGAAAGGAATGACAGTGTACAGCTGTCATTAGGTACCTAATGTCATGTTGCTTCCATTCTTTCAATCATGTTATTTCTTCATTTGCTGCTTGGAGGAGTGTACCTATAGGAGGGTTGATTTTCCTGTTGAAAGCTGAGTGGGCTAGCCTGTTGAATATTTGGGAAGATGAAGTAGTCTAGAATGTTGCTGGGGATTTCTAACTCTATCTAGGGCTACATCAAAAGATGCAGGACCAGCAGGCTGAGGGAGATGATTCTCCTTCTCTACTCCAGTCTCATGAGACCCTGCCTGGAGTGCTGTGTCCAGGTCTGGGGCTCCCAGTATAAGAATCACATGGACCTGTTGGATCAAGTCATGAGCCACGAAGATGATCAGAGGGATGGAATATCTCTCCCATTAAGACAGACTGAGAGAGGTTGTTCAGCCTGGAGAAGAGAAGGCTCCAGGGAGACCTTCTAGCAGCCTACCGGTACCTAAAGGGGCCTATGATAAAGCTAGAGAGGGATTTTTTACAAGTACATGTAGTGATAGGACAAGGGGGAATGGCTTTAAACTAAAAGCGGACAGGTTTAAATTAGATATTAGGAAGAAATTCTTTACTTTACGTGTAGTGAAGCACTGGAACAGGCTGCCCAGAGAGTTATTCAAAACCCACCTAGACTCAGTCCTGTGAAGCAGGCTCTAGGATGACCCTGCTTGAGCAGGGAGGTTGGACCAGATGACCCACTGTGGTCCCTTCCAATCTTACTCATTCTGTGAAATGAAAATTTCCAAATCTGCAGGAAAAAATTCAAAAATATGACTTTTTAGAAATATCTTAGCACATGCAGAAGGACCTGTCTGGGAGAGTTCCTGTGACTGCCTGACAGTATACCCAGGGTATTTATCAATACATCTATCCATACAAACAGTGCCTAACAATTGGTCTAGGTCCAACAACAGCTACCTAGAGTAAGGCTATGATGGTAAGACTGTCTGAGATTCAAACCTGAAGAGGTTCTGTGACATTTTGTTGAATGCATTGTTTGAAACCAGATAGCAGTTCAGTCAGCCACTTTGTCTCAGATCAATTCCTTGTCTCATCTTTGCTAACAACAGATGTAAAGTTCTGGAACCACTCAGGGAATTGATGGCTGAGTGTCCAGGGTATGTGCACAGGCACAGGCCTGACATGCTGCTCATCCACAAATATAATTTGAATTTCCTTGTTATACAACAGTTATAACTTTCATTCAATAAATTTTGCTAGAGAGTCAACCTGTTTACAAATAGCAATTTTTTTTCAAAGACTGATTTTTTAAATACAAACAAGATAAAAAAGTTATCTCCATGTAAATATATTAATTTTCTTTTGCAAAAGCTGAATTTAAGTATTTAAATAGCAATGTCTTTAGAGTCATGCTTAATACCATTTTTCTCTGTTTCTTAATGGGCATATGCAATCTACTCCCAGGTGTAATAATGAGCTACAATTAGAATTACAGCAGTTGGAGAGGTATTCTTCCACTTTATTGAGTTAATCTTTATCAACTCTAGCAAGGTCATGCCTGACATATTTTGTCAGATATGGTCTTAAGGGCTGCCAATCTTGAGTCTCTACAATTTAACTCAGTAACCTATTTAGTTCTTAGAAATCCTTCTAATAGAAAATCTTTCTCCAAGTCTAACCTAAAGTCTTCTTCCTTTATTTTAAGTCTGATACTTTTTGACTTCTCCACTATGGACATTGAGAACAGAAGCTTTTTACATACATTAAGGCAGTTATCATGTCTTCAATTTTCTCTTCAGTCTATAGCAACTCCTCTTACTAAAACTCTTTCACTAAGCCATAGGAGTTGGAACTCTACCACCCTTATGGCTTTTTTTTGTTGGATTTTCTCTAACTGTACTACATCTTGGGTCTGAAAATATCATGAACATGCTATCTTTACAATAGAGGAAATGTATTTTGGGAATAGAAAGCAGATTTCTAAAAGGTTAAATTGCTAAATGAAAGATAAGTAAAAAAAATTATAGAGTTTTACATAGGAAATTATCATAAAACATATGGATAGAAATAGTTTTAATTGTGCGGGTTCTGCCAAATCCAGCTTTGAGTTTGAATTTTATTCAGTATGGCAAAAAATTCAGGGAACATCATCCTGTAGTCACGGATTCAGCAAAGTTACATAATCATGTACATCAAAAGTACCGTGGGAAAGAAGCTGATTTTTCATTAAGCAAGTGGACTGATGAACTGGTTCATAAAAAAAAATAGGCTAAGGACTCCTGGGTTCCATATAGTAATGTTTATTGTTTTCTTCTCATATCTTTGCCATCCTTGCCAGCAGAAAGCTTGAACATCACCTCTGATCATACTCCCAGGGTCAGTTCCTGGTTGCACTTTGTGATTTAGAATAGAGTTCTAACATGGCAGATACAGAAGGAAGGAAAGTTAGAGGAAAATATTTGTCTTGATCATTTTCCTGAACATTTTCTTCCCAGTGTTTGGGATCATAAAAGCAGCAGCAATTATTTTAGGCACATAGTTTATTGCATGAAATTCTTACACAATACTTATTCTTCCACCTAGAAAGTTCTTAAATTACCATTTGTCAGATTTTTGAGAGGCAATCTAGGGAAAGATCAATTTATACTTTCCTGTGTCTTATATTCTTTACCTACATATCTGCAATGGAAGAAAGAATGAGTTTTGTTCCAGTCCAGTATCATGGTTCTCATATTATTACATTATAAGTTTGTTTTAATGATCACTTCATTTTTTATCATTTATTTCTCTATAACAACAATCAGAAGCCATAGCTATTATATTCATCTAACATCTTAATGTTTTCCCTTTTGTCACTAAATCCTCTTCTTCATTCTTTGCTTTTTTTTGTCTTTTCATATTTTGCAGTTTCCTTTTTTCCCATTACCACTTGTCTGTTTTGTTTCACAGATAAAGGAAAATAAAGACAAGGACATAGAAAGCTATTTCCACTTTTTTTTTGGTCTATTGTGTTTCTGTAATACTTTTGCTGTCCTTATTCTTCATCTGTCTATCTTTCTTGTGTACTTTTAGGACAATGACTGTGCTTGTTTTGCTAATACTGCTAACGTTTTTAACAACAGTCATGAAGTTTTAATTTCTCTATTCCAGTTCCTATATTAGAAAAAACACACTAATAAAAACCCCAAGCTCGTACTGCCAATTCCATCTGGTATGTCACTGAGATTACACTCAGATGACACTTAGAAAAAGCATTGTCACAATGTATAAAATTCAGCAGGAACAGTAATAACTAGGATAATAATTTTTATTCCTCTGATTATAGTGGCTTTCTTGTTATGCTGTCACTGTTGGGATAACTTCTTGTTCATATTTGTAGCCTCTCTGCTAAGATGACTTTCAGCAACTGAAAGAATATTTTTGAATGTATAGAATTAGAAGGTAACATGTGGTCTTCATGGATTTAACAATTAGCCACTGCCACTATAATGCCCTTCATTTTATCTAAAAGTTTGTCCTTGAACAAATTCTAGGCCTCTTCTGTTTTCTTTGTGCTTTGTGATGATCTTTGCCTTTTCATTGATTCAGCACTTACCTTTGAGCCTTACTTTTCAAATATGTTGAATTTGCCTTTTATCAGCTTAAAAATGTGAATCTCATGCATATTTACATTGCAAGCTGTGACAGCTCTGGAAGAGGTCAGTTGTGTCAACTGTTTCATACGTCCACAAGAAATTCTATTATCTCTTGAACAGACACAGTTTTATTATGTGTAAAACTAAGCATATTTATTTTGAAACTAAGAGTTTGGGGGTATAGTTTTACAGTTTTAAATAAGAAGGGTCTTAAATGAATGCTGAAAAAGAAGAAAAGTAAAGTTTGAATGAAAAATCCACTGTAGTTTTGTGGCTGTCACCAAGGAACAGTGTTAGTTTTAAAATGATAGCTGTGACTTCCTTGTCATTGTGATATCAGGTTTTCTGATTACAGGATGATAAAGGTAAACAATTTTGATTAAAAAAAAATAAAAAATCAGACAATCATTGTTTGATAATCTGTTGAATCAGATATTTCATAGGCTAGAACCTGATTCAAAACTGTTCTTTGCAGTACAAGGACACAAAACATTTGTATGTCTTTGCTTTTAATTTTATCTCTTCTTTTATGTAGCTGGACTTATTCTGTGAACTCATTTTAAAAGCATGCATTTGTTTATGATGATCACCACTGGGGTAAATTATTGGTGAAATTGTGTTTTGTTTTGAATTGGATTTAAAGGTCATGGGGAGAACTGGGGCAAAGGAAAAGTTACTCTAGTACAGAACCTGAACTCAACCCTGACCTTCAACATTTCAAAGCAGGAGTTGCATGAAATAGGAAAAGATAAGGCTAGGGCAGCTGAAAAGCTAAAATGATGAGAAACAACTCAAAGTTTTGCAAAAATACCTAATAAAATTAACTCCTGCTGGGAACTGTTTTATTTGGTTTAGGGAAATCCTTACCTATCCATAGATATGTTCTTATAGCAATAGCAAAGTGCTGCTTGCACTGTTCCCTTTGTCACTATTTTGTTGCTTGCTATGAACACTGTGAGTGTTATTGATCACTTACTCTTACATGAACATTTCTCTCTCTTTTACAGTGACAAGATACTCTTTTACAGTGCCAATATATTTATTATGTTAAAAGATATAAAATATAAAAAATATTACGAAAGTATTTTGGAAGCATTATGGTGCTCTGATAATGACAGGCTGAATTTACCCAGAAGGAGGCTCTAATATCCAATGAAAAAGAAGCTCCAACTCTTCCCAGTGCTGGGAAAAATATTTAGAAAATATTAATCATTGACGGTATCTGGTAAACACTTTAAACCCTGTTGTGTAGCTTTAAATTCTATACATAAGTTAGTGTCGTGGCTTGAACCCTCCAAAAATCCAATTTTTAAACCTCCTACAATTTGCCTCAATGTGAGAGAAGGTTTCAGACATAACACATCTACTATCATGAGGAAATTATATCAAAATTTATTACTAACACAATAGGTACTATAATACATTTATATACAACAATCCTAACTATCTCTCCTATGGTAAAACAATATATTTACATATATCAAATTCCTCCTTTCCCTCTAATAAAAGTTCAGAAGGAAAGATGAAGATCACTTTCAGAGCAGCACAATCTCTTCTCTTCTAAGCTGCAGATTCACTTCGTCTTAGCTGGAAAATCTCTCTCTTTCTCTTCATTACAACACAGGGGTTTTCTCTCACCCCTCCTGGCCCTTCGGCTCCAACCGAAGGTCTCTCCCGTGGACTGCAAAAGCAGGGACAAAGTTAGCTTTACTACGGTCATATCACAAAGTGCAAGGCATTTTGTGAAAGTCCCTTCCTCGGGGGGTCAATTTCCCTCGAGTTAGAATGGTTTAGGGCTCTCAGTTCAGTTTTTGCCCCAAGTGTTCTAACAGAGCTCCTTTGCTCTGTCTCAGCTGCCAATGTGGCGGGGAGGGGGAAAGGCTACTTCCGTCACATTCCGTCCTAGTCCAGCTCACAGGACATCTACTAGTTCTCAGCTCTTCTTTCTCTCTCTAGTTGCTGCTGCATTTCGGGACTCCATAAAAGTTTGGAAGCCCACCCCTCCTCTTCAGGAGGTCTCTGGGTTTCTAAAGGGCTTTGGGGACATTTAATTCAGTCTTACCCCAAAACATTCTCTACTGAGTTTTCTCTACTCTGTTGCCAATTCTCCCTCCTGCAGGACATCTCTGCGTCTCTCAGCCTGGCTCTGTGCCATCTCGCTGCTTGTTGGCTATCTTCTTGGCTTTCAGCCACAGCTCTTCACTCAGCACTGCCTCTGCTGCTGCTCCGGCATCTTCCTGCCACCTACTCACAGTGGAGAAAACTCCCCCCAGCCTTTGGCCATGGCACTCAGTCCAGTTTTAATATTGTTCTGGGTCCTCCCCAGCCTGGCCGGGGCCTGGGGGACCTTGGCCCCCGGCGGGGCTCACTGGTCCCTCTCTCAAACACATGGTGTCTCAAGCTATGGCTGTCTTTCCTCCAACTACGTAATCAGGTCCTTTTCCAGTCTTAAACCAATTAATTTCACAGGGGTGAATTATAGTTCTACACCAAGAACACCACCCCCGGGGTTAACCACTTTCCAACTCCATGACAGTTAGCAATGAAAAATTAAAGTTACTAACTTAGGGAATTATTAAGGGAGATACTTTAACACAAAAATATGGAAAAGAAATTCAAAAAAAGGAAGGCAGTACATGACATTTTTTCATTGAGTTAGAACAGATTTGTGACAATTTCATAAAATATTTTGATAGAAGTAAGAACCCTTTCATCAAAATGTTTATTTTTTTTTAAAGTTCTTATTAATACATTCCTCAGTCTCCTGTTGGACTGTGGAACATATTGTTCCATGGTCTAATATAGCAGAATTCAGAAAGGATTTCTCTGTCGTGTAACAAATAATGGCACTTATTTTATATATTACGTAAATTTCATATTTGGAGAATTTACCTTCATTGACATATTGGAAAATATTCTCTACTATAGGAAGGAAATTATTACTCTTCTTCAGAAGGAGATGTTTGAAAGGACAGCATAGGAATCATCAGATATGTTTCTCATGTCACAGAACCTACATATTTTAGAAAATTACCAGTGTTATGTCTTCCATTTCTCCAGCCAAATTAAAAAAGAGAAGGGAAAAGGGGTTTTAACGTTGTTTTAGACAAAAATGTTTACTGCATTTTGAAATGCATTTTCTCAGATTTCCCTTTGGAACTTTTTCATTGCAGGAGATGCTAGGAAACAAAGTAACTAGACCTCAGTGTAAGTTCTTTACCCAGGACTGTTCATTGCACTGGGTCACTTCTTCTGCTACCATTCATGTTCTCACAGTTTCATCAGAGATTATTACAGTGACAGGGAAAGCATTCAAACTGATACAAAAACCAGCAAGAAACACATTGGTTTATTGTTCCTGTTACATATCTACCCAAGGTGTCTTTCTGTCACATTCTGATCTTTTTGGTTTGCTTTAATTAATTTGGTTTGCTTTGTTTCATTCCTATTAAAGCACAGGGTTTAGTATCTGTGGAAAGAAAATAGATATACTTGAAACAAACAAAGAAAATATGTTATTCCAAATATCCTTCATATTCTGCATACTTTAGAAAAAATATTTGCACACATTTACAGACTCATATGAATGACTTTTAACATTTTTTCATATCAAGCAGCCTTACCTTTGGTAATGAGCGTCAGTGAAAGGATCACTGAAGTAAAGATGGCTTTTATTATCAGTAACTATGAAAATCTGGTTCTCACACATCTGACATCTGTTTTTAAACTACTTGGTACCCTTAATTAGTATAACAAAAGATTAAACTTTAACCTTGTTTTGTAGACTTTTAATTTTTAAGGAAGTGATTCTAAATGGTCAGAAAGCATAAGGCATACTGTCATTGCCAATCACATGAACACTGCACCATAAACATGAGCCAGGTGCAGATTATGAAGGGTAGCTAATTTAGTTCTTCAATGTTTATAAGCACTTCCACTAAACTACATGCTATAGGGGGAAAAAGTAATCTTTTTTTTCTCTGTTAGGAAGAAAGTGGAAATGGTATTTAAAACTTAGTTGATATCTAGTAAGGACTCCATTTGGTCGCTGCATTTTTTCACTCTGTTTCTTTCTATATTTTTAATTTGTATTTTTTAATTTTCAGGGCACTTTGAAATTAATAATTCAATGTGAATTATTCCTCTATTGGAGTTTCTGCAATAAGACTGCAGTGAATATTGCTGTTTGTAGCAAAGGCTCTATCACAAGTCAAAGGAGCTTTATTTCTTTGTGTGTGCATCAATTGAAACAATTTATTTGAAGACTTTGAGAGTGAAGGAAAAAGCTACAAGCCAAAAGAGGCTAATAAAAGTCAATATCTTCCCTTTGAGCAATGTCAATCAATTTGAGTGAAATAGATTCCCTGCTTGTTCCATAAGAAAAGTACTTTGTGTCACAAATGACATGGAGAATTCTTGGGTGTCCTAATTATCAAGAAATACCTGATGTTTTGGTCTTGCATTCCCTATTTAATTGGTAAAGGATTATTTGTCTTAAGCTATCTGTTTCCATTAGAAAATTTAGAAAAAATATAATTTTATAAAATTATGTTGCACTGAAAGATAAGTAGCACTTCCCAGGACAAAAAGTGCTATAGTAAGTCTGGAATTATTTGGCATTAAAACAGCATAGTAAATTGAAAGTGTATAATGGATGTTTAATCAACTCAGCAAAGACAGGTTTGAAATTTTTGTAATACTTTGTCCTATCCAAAGAGAGATTCCATTATATTCTTATTCTCTCTTATCTGGTTCATATTTTAGTGGTAATTGTAGTAGTAAAAAATAAATGGGAAAATGTAAATTTACTTAAAGGATCTTTTGCATTTAAATGTTAAAAACATTCAGCTGGCATACCGAATCCAGCTTTCCTGGCAATATTCGTTATGTAAGTAAAAGTGAAACTTTATGGAAGTAGAAATATTATTTTAAAATACATTTGGTATTTTAAAATAAATTATTCAAATGAATATTTTATGTTTAGGTAACAAATCTGCATCTAGTTACCTAACAACACTTTTTTTTTTTTTTTTAATGTAACATATGGTTACTATGTAGTTAGGACATCAGGCTACAGTGGGCTTTAGCTGGGGAATGCTAAGGACTGCTTTGTCTGAACTTTCATAACAGGCTTGTTTTGTCTGGTTTTTAACTTAATAATTTTTCATTGTTTTTTGGTTTTAATTTCCAGTCTTTTGGCTTAGTTTTTCCTTCTTTATTTTGCTGATCAGTAAAAACATACAACCTCTATGCTAAGCAGTGCTAGAGATGGTTCCGCTGAGGCATCTAATGAGATTTTTTGTTTGTTTTTTTAAGGCTATTTAGAGTGTTTCTTAGTCCTTACTCACACCAATCTTCTTGAGGGAGACATGATAAAATCCCACACATTCTTTTTCATCCCTACCATAAATGTTATATAATACACACACTACAATACACAGCTTGACTGTAATTTGGTCCCTTGTTGATGACAGGCTCCAAAGATCTTGTTTCTGCCTATAACCCTTCGACAAATTATCCTCTTACTACAGAACCAAATTCTCTGCTAAATACTCTATTATTAATTCTGGGTAGGGGTAGAGAGGAAATAAATGTCTGGCAAAACTTCCTTATAGATATTTGATATAGGATAGCGTACCTGTTTTCAGGAATGAAAAAATGTTATATATGGGCAATTGCAGACAAGATTTGAATTATTGAAAATACCTGTGCCTGTTGGTGAAACACTAAAAATGTATTCTTAGATGACTTATCACTTTATCTTTCCTTCTTGTGGTGCTGCATGGAGGGTGTTGTATTCTGGACTATGTAATTACTCTTGTCCTTCTGCTTTGTTATTCCTACACAGGGAAAGACAACTGACCTACACAAAATTTCTTCTACAGGCCAAAAATAGGTTAAATATCTCCAACTTGAAAACATTGCATAGCATTCTTTACCCACAAGGCTCCATCTGCTCTTCTTATGGCCATGTCTATAGAGAGTAGAAGTATATTAACAAGAAATGGTTTTCTCAAACATTCACTATTTAACGGAAATTCCAAGGTGACATATGTAACTCATCTTTCTCTTCACCATTGACAACGTCTTAAAAAACACTCTGTTCTGTCATTTGCTTCACTGAAAAATACGAATACAGTTTGCCACATAGGTTTTGTAAACAAATGCTTTTCATAAGTGATAAAAAAGCTTTATATGCTTTTCTATAGGTGATAAATGAAAATGGTATTTGGTCCTGACATAGGTTAAATAAACATTCCAGATGTTCTGTTTTTTTGATTCAGCTAAAATATCCTACAGTGGGTTCAACATATGTAGAAAAGGAGTGTCCAACCAGTATCAATTAATTTAGTGCATCTTGTGCTA